TGCTTTTGGATCTGGTATGTTAAACCTGAAGAGAAACAGCAAAATAGTAGAGAATAAAGCCCAAGAGCTAACCATGTATATGAATGAATAGGTGTCATTTACTTTCATCCTTCCTCTTTTCCCTAAACTCCTCGAATTCTACCGAAACAGTGAAGCCGGCCCCGAGTCGCAATCTACACTACTAGCCCGAATACTTGGCGGCCTAAACGCCTACAAATCCGCTTTCGCGAAACCCATCGACTCGAGATATGATATCGTACTGCTAGGTGGTGCCTTGGGAAGCTTGTTCTCCCTGCTACAAGCTATCGCATCACCCATCATTGGGCACTTATCCGACAAACATGGAAGAAGGGCAGCGCTTCTTGCCAGCATGGCTGGAAACATCCTATCCGTTTTGCTTTGGGTGATGGCCGTCGATTTCAGAACATTCCTTGCGTCGCGCGTCGTCGGTGGATTATCAGAGGGTAACGTGCAGCTAGCGACAGCCATCGCAACCGATATCTCGGACGAGAACAGCCGTGGTTCGACTATGGCTCTTATAGGCGCCTGCTTCTCTATCGCTTTTACCTTCGGCCCCGCCCTCGGCGCATACCTCAGCACCATCGCGACCGTAGCCGCAAACCCGTTCGCAACAGCCGCTGGCGTATCGCTCTCCCTGATCGTGATCGAGACGGTCTACCTATACTTCTCGCTCCCCGAGACGTTACCGAACAAGAACGCAACACAGACTAGCAAGAAAGCTGCAAAGCCGGCAGCAATTACACGTACAAACTCTCACTTCCTGCTGAACTTGGTGCACTTCGCCTTTCTGCTATTCTTCTCCGGGATGGAGTTCTCCCTACCATTTATGACGTACGACCTATTCCAGTACAACTCGGCGCAGAATGGACGACTGCTCGGCTATGTGGGTCTCATAGCCTCGATACTCCAGGGCGGAGTGACGCGTCGACTATCTCCTCTTCTAACAGTGCGAATTGGTGTCGCTGCTTGCTTGGTTGCATTCATACTACTCGGGCGCATCAGCACAGTCGGCTCGCTATACCTTGCCGCTACATGCTTGGCGACTACCTCAGCCACAGTCGTCAGCGGTCTCAATACGCTCAGCAGCTTCGAAGCTAGCGAGGGCGAGCGCGGCGGAAAGCTCGGTATACTACGCAGCTACGGCCAGCTCGGTCGTGGCTTGGGTCCGATCTTGTTTACTAGCGTGTACTGGTGGGCTGGTAGAGAGGTTGCGTATGCTGTCGGTGCTGCGGGCATTCTGGGTGTCGCAGTGCTGGTGTTTGCTGGGCTGAAGTCTCCGCCTGGCTCCATACCAAAGAAGGCGAAGGCGGAGAAGAAGGAATTGTAAGATATTGTAAGATGATTGGTTATTATTATAGATGGATGCTGGTGCCAGCACATAGATGGACATATACCTCTTAAAAGTTACTGCTTATTTTGTGATTATCTATAAATACCTTATACTTGAGCGTGACAAATCTAATGCTATCCTCTAGAATCTAAGCTAACTTTACTGCACATTTCTATAAGCTTCACTTTCTCATTGCAGACATGGCATGCAATACTAGCTACTTTTACAACCAAACCGAAAAGCAGGATTTAAGCATACTCTTCCGCGGAGTCGCCTCTAAGCCCTGCCAGCCCTACGACTTAGCGATGGCTGTGATGTTACTAGCGCTTACACACATAGTACCTCATATGCGCTCAAGTGGAGAAGCTGCCTACCGCATTAGGAAATCTGGAGATTAATGGTAGTTGATGATTGGCTCATCTGTCGGGGGTCGGGGTATTCCCAAGTCACGGTTCTTGGAGAGTTGATGTGTTAGTTACGGCGTATAGCAAAGAAGATCGGCTCAGTTTTATGGAAGCCAAGGCGGAAAGAATCCGATCCTGATGTGAAGGAAGGAAGCATGCTGGCGCTCTAAGCCCTGCCGATGTAGGACTTGAAAGCTCAGCTATGTCGATCTGTTGATTTTGGAGATTAGCTATATTATTAATAGGCATAACTCTACCGAGGGCTGTCAACGTATTAATAGGGGATCGAATTCGACTTTGGGATCCTGTTGTTGTTCCACAGCTTAGGCATCTTCAGTGTCTGAAATATTAACTAGTTCTTCCTGGTCTTATTGTATTCCCAACTCCGACAAAAGCACCAAATGAGGTCCGTCAAAGCAGCCGGCCTTCTGGCCGCCCTCAGCGGTCAAACCACAGCTCAAACAACCTCGAGCTTCAACTGGACGAGCATCATTCCCTCTACATCCCTCAACTACACCACATGCTACGATACCCTCAAATGCGCCAAACTCTCTGTTCCCCTGGACTGGTTAAACAACTCTACTACCACCACCACCACCACCACATCCAACAGCACAACAACCCAACAGATATCCCTAGCCATAATCGCCCTCCCAGCCACCGTCCCCGAGACCGATCCCAGCTTCGGCGGCACCATCATAGTGAACCCAGGCGGGCCCGGCGGCTCGGGCGTGGAGTACGTGCTCGCGTCCGGGCCGACGCTGCAGGCCATCGCGGACGACACCAAGCACTACGAGATCCTGTCCTTCGACCCGCGCGGCACGGGCTTCTCGGAGCCCGGGGCGGACTGCTTCCGCGGCGACGAGTTCGGCCGCGCCCTGGCCGCGTACGAGATGCGCGTCGCCGGGCCCCTGGATGCCGGCGTCGACGTCGTCAGGCGCCAGGCCGGACTGTACGGCGCCTGGGGACGGCTGTGCGAGGAGGGCGGCCCGGAGCAGATCCGCGGGTTCATGTCTACGGCGAGCGTGGCGCGCGACATGCTGGAGATTGTGGAGAAGATCGATGATGAGGTACGCGGCGGCGGTGGTCGCAACGGGACTGCGAGTGCGAATGCGAGGAGGCAGAGCGGCAAGGATCTGCCAAGGATTCAGTACTGGGGTGTCTCGTACGGAACGGTGCTGGGGAATTACTTTGCTTCCATGTTCCCCGGTCGTGTTGGACGGATGATGCTTGAGGGGGTTGTGGATGTTCATGATTACAACGCTGGCGTAAGTAACCCTTATTCATTCCATTCCCGCATATCGCAAGCTAACAGATGTGGATAACGTAGCTGTGGTCCAAGAACCTCCAAGACGCAGACAAAGTCTTCGACACCTTCTGGACGACTTGCTTCGAAGCAGGCTCCGCATGCGCTGTGTACAAGCCCAACGACACCAGTCCCAACGACATCCGCAAGCGCTTCGAGACCTTCCTGGACGAGCTCACCGACTCGCCCGCTCAAATCGTATCCGGAACCACCATCGACGAGATCACCCGCGCAGACGTGCTAGTCGCCATCCTGCAGGCCTTATATGGACCCCTGGACACCTTCCCCGTCATGGCGGACCTCCTCTCCTCGGCCATGGCCGGCAACTACAGCGTGCTGGCAGCAGGCAGCCTGCAGGAGCCCTCGTGCAGCTCCTCCTCCCCCGTCGCCAGCACGGCATACACGTGGATCTCGGACGCCCTGGGCGCGGTCGCCTGCGGAGACGCCGAGGTCCAGGACCTGAGCACGTCGGAGCTGAACGCCTACGTCAGCGAGCTGAAGGCGCAGACCCCGTACTTCGCGCCGACCTGGGCCACCATCCGCCTCCAGTGCAACGGGTGGCGCGTGCGGCCCAGGTACCGGTTCGCGGGGCCCTTCACCACGCCGGCCGCGGACCCCGCGCTCGTCGAGGGCAGGCCCGTGGCGCCGATATTGTTCCTGTCGAGCGCCCTGGACCCCGTGACGCCGCGCAGGAACGCCGTGGCCATGGCGCGGGAGCACACTGGCGCTGGGGTCTTGGTGCAGAATAGCACGGGCCATGCTACGCTCAACGTGCCCGGCAAGTGTCGCGACGGCTACGTGAGCAGGTACTTTGAGACGGGCGAGCTGCCGCCCGAGGATACGGTCTGCGAGCCGGATTGCAGTCCCTTTCGGGAGTGCCGGCGGGACACGCTGGCGAAGCGGGCTGTGAGTCTGCCGGGGTTCTTGCCGAAGAAGAAGAAGGGGCCTTTGGAGTTGTGGTAAGGTTGTGGGTTGGTGTAGTGTATGGTAGATACGAGGTATGGTTTAATATTCATCTGTAAATAATTTGCTATTAAACATGAAGATATGAAATCATCGATCTGTGTACTGGATGTGGAGGTGAAGTCAGTGTCTTTTGATTTTTCTTGCCCGTTTCTAACATGAGACCTGACTGCTTAGGGGTAAGAGATACAATTCTTGTAGGGTTTCGAGCTAATTGCTTGAGTGTCCAATAGCAAATAAGTAAAGGGGTATTAAAGTCCGAGTTTCTGCTTTGCTTTGACAAGGCATTGCTTCTATGTCGACAAATAGGGGCTTCATCTCCACTGTGGCATATGGAGCAAAGGCAGTCAGTAATATCTCGGCAACAAAGATATAGAGAACCTTAAGTTACTGTGAATGTATCTTTAAATGCTGATAGGTGTTTTGATACAAAGATTTAATTAAACAATATGCAAATGGGAACTTATCGGGTGGTGAACATGATATCAAGGCAGATTAACAGAAGTTATTGTGAAAAAAATTGCCTTATGCAGCTGGTCAAGGCAGATATAAGATCCATCCATATAGTGCACACATGAGCTGGACTGCTGTACTAGGCAAAAATGAGAAATGACATTTCTCACAATACGACTGCCTAAAGTGCTGTTTGCTTCATCAGCTCATCCAAAAAATCAATAGGACGATTGGGATTCAAACCAAAGTAAGGCAGGGGCGTGTTATTGGAAGGCCAGGCAACAGTGTGGATCAGCAACCTACGGGAAGGTGCAGTTCCTGACACCGGATGATATGCATTCATTGTCAACTTGAGAATGATATTTGACAAGTCTTTTTTGCTTGAGTGTTTGCCTTACTAGGTAGGTAGGTAGGCATCCATAACTCAGAACATTGCACCTTCCTTACTCTTATAATTCGGAACAGCAAACCTTTTTGTCATCCACTGACAGGTTGGTGAACTGGTCTGCTCTGTAGACCTACAGCTGCACTAGAGAAATGGTAACTCGTCGGCCTCCTATTGCTAGATCAATAGCCGAAGATTCTCGGTTCGAGTCCGGGGTGTGGCGATTCAATTCTTTTTTTTCAGTCTTCTTTTTTGTCTCTTGGGTATTTAGGTACTTGGGTATTTTACCCCTATTGTTTTCTAGATGTTGGTGATATTGAAGGTGTTAATTATGACACAATTTTGCCAACCAACATTTGAAAACCAACGTCCGATTCTCGAGTGACACAATAATAACTGTGATATGGCATCCGTCCTGGAGGCTGGATGCTACATAAATGCGGCCATGCAGATAACTGAAATAAACAAATGAGGAAGTTCAGGAACGTTCAGTCTTATTTGTTCGTTGGAGGAGCTTCCCACATCCAAGAACAAATAGGTTTCTTATACTCTCATTCATCGTGTTCTTCGCGCGTCGGATTTGGTGTTCATTTCTGCACTTCTCTGTATGCCATCATAAATAAGTGATGGCGATGATTACATTTGCAGTTGCAGCTGTGCTGCTGCTTGCGACATATCTTCTGCGCAAGCTGTACACCAAGCGCTTTAAGCAATTCGCTGGGTTCCCTCAACATCCTCCCTCGCTACTCCTGGGGTCTGGAAGCAGCTTGAGTATCTTACCGGGCCCAACTCTATCATTTTGGCCAGGGGAGAGGAGTGGAAGACCCTACGCAGACGCTTCAACCCTGGTTTTGCAACACCGAACCTGATGCAGCTGCTGCCATCTATTCTTGAGAAGGCCTCCTTATTCGTAAATCACCTTAATACCCTTGCTCGCACCGGAGAGGTGTTTGAGCTGCAGAGTTACGCCACCGACCTGACGTTTGATATTATCGGCCATGTGGTCCTCGATATAGACATGGATGTCTAGAAACAGCAGCCTACTGAGTTCATGCGAGTCTTTCGTGAGCTTATAGTCACGTATAGTGGTGAGCATCTCGATCTCCCGTGGTTTTGCACGCCGCACGTGGAGTGGAAGCGCTATCGTCTGCATAAACGAGTGAGGGAAAGCCTCCGTGCCATGGTTCGTAACCGCCATGCTGAGGGTTCCCAGGACAGCTCCTGCATCCTGTCCATGAGCCTCCGCGATATTGAGACCCACACCCCTGAACTCGTGGGCATCACTTGTGACCAGCTTACTAGCTTCTTGTTCGCCGGCCATGATACTACTAGCACACTTATGTCATGGGCTTTCTACGAGCTGTCTCGCACACCCCACGCATTACGTGCTGTGCGTGCCGAGCTGGATGATATTTTTGGACCAGATATAGAGCCGTCCACTGTTCACTCCAAGCTCATTGGCCCTGGAGGAAAGAAGTTGATACATCGCATGTCCTATGTGACGGCGGTTATCAAGGAGACACTACGGCTCTGGCCGCCAGGCACTACGTCGCGTATGACAGAACCCGGGGATGGCTTCACCATCCAAACCCCAGACGGAGACCTCTGCGTAGATGGCTTGATGATATACCAGCTCCATTCTATTATTCATCGTGACACTAGAGCCTTCGGCGAAACGGCAGACAAGTTCGTGCCTGAGCGTTGGCTGCACGACACAGACAAGATCCCGGCAGGAGCATGGCGGCCGTTTGAGCGCGGGCCCAGGAATTGCATCGGACAAGAGCTTGCGACCATCGAGGCGCGCATATTGATCGCGCTCACCGCACGGCGCTTCGATTTTACTAAGGTTGGCCGTGGCGCGTTGGTACTCGACACCGCTGGAAATCCTTCGATAGATGAGTTTGGCCAATATAGCGTTGCATCGGAGATGTACATGGTGAGCTATTCCCCCCTCTCTATGAGCTTATATGTGTGGCTTGCTAATGGTGTATGGTTGCAGACACGGCAGGTGACGTCTAAGCCCGTAGATGGTATGTTGATGAGGGTCAATATTAGGAAAAGCCCCTAAACTGAACTTGTAAAGCTGGTACTTGGACGAGTGATTATCTGTAGGGCATAAGTCAATGCTGTGTGGCCAGGGTGGTGAACGTATATACATACATACCTACCTAGTCCGTAACCACATCTGGCAAAAATGTATTTCTGAAAGACTGCTAGTTTTTACGGGCGTCTAGCTGTCATCACAGCGTCTCGAAGAATGCCAAAATCTCCCTAACCACCGCTTCAGGTTGCTCCTGCTGAATCCAATGACCTGCGCCCTCTACAAAGGTGGCACCTCTATAACAGCCCTCCTTAACAGATCTGGGATCCTCATACCCCTCCAAGGCACCAGGCTGCTGGTAGTTTCCCCAGTCCTGCTTGCCACTGATAAACGCGCACGGAACCTCGATCCTCCTCCCGGCGAATAGGAGCATGTCGCGTCTCGACTGCGACGTCGACGCCGTCTGTGCTCGGTACCAGTTCAGCGCGCCTTGGAAGCCGTTGCGCTGCCACTCGGCGCAGTACACCTGCAGATCCTCCGTCGATAGCCAGCGCTCGGTCTTAGAGAAGTCCTCACCCGTCATGTTCGAGGCTACCGTCTCGGGCATCGAGTGCTGCGCTTGCATGATGTAGTACTCGGGCATCGGGGCCAGCGCCTCCGCGCTCCATTCCGACAGGGGCGTGGGGTTGTTCTGGGCCCAGTCTGCTGACTTGAGGTGGAAGTATCCGCGAAGAAAGGCCTCGAGGCCTTGCGGGGGCTTCTCCCAGTCGTCTGCTGCTTTGGGAGTTGAGTTGTACCATTTGTAGTGCTTCCTCGGTGGATTTAGCTTTGCGAGCTCGGCCTGGAATTCGGCTTTCGCCTGCTCTTGCTTGGGAGGACTTGGCTTTGCTGGTCGGTGGTGCGGATGGCTCATCTGGACGGTAGACAGAAAGATGCCGGGGCGCACCAGCGCTGCCATGGCGGAGCTCACGCCGCCGAAGTCGTGGCCGATGATGCTGTGGACTGTCTTGTATCCCAGCCCGTACACCAGACACACGAGGTCGCGCACTAGGTTTGTGAAGACGTAGTCGTTCAGGTCAACTTCGTCATATCGTTGTTTTCGTGGCCATCCTTTGGTGCGTCCGTATCCGCGCTGGTCCATGGCTACGCAATAGTAGCCTGCGTCGGCTATCTTGGGAAGCACTTTGCGCCATGAGAAGGCGAGCTCGGGGTATCCATGACAGAAAAGAACGAGCGGTTTGCCAGGCTCGCCGGCTTGCAGGATGTGCCATGTGAGACCGCATGAAGTGGAGCAGTCGATATAATCCGAGGTGATTCCCTCCGAGAGGGGCAGCTCCGGAAGGACTTCATTTGACTTACTCATGTTGGCATTTTATATCAATAAATCTGTTTACGCAATGGAAGTATCGACTCGGTGCTGGCAACTCTTAATCTAGATCAGTGTTGCGCATGAAGCGAAATGTGATTCTGGTAAACGGCTGAACGGCTACGGCTAGCCCTGCAGATGAGGTGCTACGGTACATTAGATGGTGTATAATCACCGCCGGAACCCGCTGTCAAGTTATGTCAGCATGTACATTTCCAGAGATATTTCTGAGACATGCTGTTTGTGCAAACGAAGAATAGAGGGGATTCTATAGCTACTTATGCCCGAATATGTCTGCTTGGTGGCCTTTCCCTACCCAAAATTAAAATCAAAATCAAAATTAATGAATGTACATGTATTTCTTGGAATATCCCACCTAGTAACTACATGTATTCAACAAATTCCCACATGTCTCTCAAGATCAGGTGTACATAGATAAAAAGCAAATTGTGAAGAGGAAACTCCGGGGACCAGCCTACAAGTCAGAAGGATCCCACTCATTCCAACCCTCCTTCTCACCAGGCAGTCTCACACTCTCCCATTCCTTTCTAGTGACGTTCTTCCACTCATCCACCGGAATCCAGCCAATGTAAGCCCTGTCGCCAAAACCGCCAATCCAGTAGAGCTGAGTGACAACGAGTCTCACGAATTCCGACTTGTGGATCTGGTTGCCGGGAAGCCAGTACTTCGCGTCAGGATGTTTCTCCACGAAGCATGACGAGAGCGCTTTCACAGAAGACTCGTCAATCTTCTCGATGTAGCCCAGTAGACTGTATCGAGGAAGGTTGACCGCGCTGTAGGGCACCGGGTCTTCAAACTCTTCCTCGCGTCCGAAGAAGCGGTCGAAGAAGGACGTAGACTTGATGCGCTTGGCTGGTGGGTATGGTGGTGTCCACCGCTGCGCTAGACTAATATTCGAGCCGTCCTTCACATTCCGGAACGTCGTCTCGATATTGATAGCCAAGAAGGTCGGATTGCCATCTTCCTCACAATCAGCCACATACTCTAACAATCCAAAAGGCGCGCCACCGAGACCCTCTGGCTGCCGGCTGCGAGGCGTGTCTGGAAAGGTGGTGGCGAGGGTGCCGAGAGGCGTCAGTGCTAGGATGCGACGACCGAGCACGGCGGATTCATAAGATGTTGGGATTCGATAGTCTGATTGAGACGCCGGAGGGTTGCTGAAGATGTACTGCGAGTCCGGAGCCGGCTCCGCCGTGCAGGAGCTGGCGGCTAGAGTGATGAATGGTAGGCTGTTTGATAACCTCATGGCGGATGATGCACCGAGCTGGTGTAGCTACTGTAGCTAGCTATCTGCTAATGCGTTAAGCTTTGGATGGTGGAATGTCTGAGAGTACTACGTAGGTAGTATGGTAAATAGAATATTAAATTAGATTTGAGTTTACAACTTCTTGAAAATTGAGAGAACTTAAGCTATTAAGATTCGCGTTTGGTTCGCGTTTGACAGTCTGAAGCCAAAGCTCATCCGAGAGGGAAGATGAAGCCGATTACGGTCAACCATCGGGAGCTAAAGGTCGCATGTGAACGAATGTATCAGGTGGGACAAGCTGCTAATGCGGGTCTGGGGTTTGCCTTGATGGGTTTAGTCATTTTGGATAGAACTTTAATTACTGTAGGTACCCAGGTACTTTGGGTTAGGTAAACCATCCAATGTACACATCTAGGAAATCGAGATGCATTTGAGGGTAGATTTTGATAGGAATTATTGGAAATATGTACTATGTAGTAATAATGCCAGTAATATTATAATTGAAGCTAGACTAGATTTGATGCTGAATTTATTAGATGTATCACCGCA